CTCTTTTATATTGACATCTAAAAGAGGTTTTTTTTCTCGACATCGGAAAGAATTTTTTGTCATACTTTGTATGAAGAGCTATTATCATTTTCATTTAATGAAAACAGCTTTTCATATATGAAAAGGAGGAAAAGTGTATAGGATACTATAGTATACTAATAAGTATGATAAAAAAGTTTTTCCGACGGCGAGAGAAAAAACTTTTTCAGCTGTTTATAATCGATTAACATAGATGTCTTAAAAACGCATTTTTTATGTCTTTTCATGACAAGATTAAAATAAAAAAAGACGTCTTTTCGATGTCGAAAAAAGATGTCTTTTAGATTTTCATAATCGATTAAAAAAAGACGTCTTGATGACATCGTAAATAAGACTTTTAAAGACGTCTTTTTTCCCGCTGTGAGGTTATTTTTTAAATTTAAAAAGTTTTAAAAACAATAATAATTAGGCTTTTATGAGATTTTAAAAATACGGAATTATTGGTTTAAACCGTTGTATTATCACAAGAATAATTTATATATAAAGTAGACTTATGTACTTATAGCATATGTTGCTATACAAGTTTACTATATATATATATATATATATATATATATATATATATATATATATATATATATATATATATATATATATATATATATATATATATATATATATATATATATATATATATATATATATATATATATATATATATATATATATATATATATATATATATATATATATATATATATATATATATATATATATATATATATATATATATATATATATATATATAAAACTTTATACTTTGTATTTTTTTTTTTTTTTGTTATTTAGGTGCCCCAAGAAGACCAAACGATTTTGTCACTGAGCTCCGTGGAAGTGCATTTAACCAGGAAGTTCACGCCTCCTTCCTTACCGTGAAAATATGTTCAGAGCTCGTTTCGAACCTGGATCTTTTGCTTATAAAGCAAGCGCTGTAACCACTGCGCCACGGCTAGTGAATCCAAATCCGGATTTCGGAATTTCGGAATTCCGAAATTCCGTCATATTTTGAATTTTTAAAAATCCGGAAGTCAAAAACGTAAATTCCGGATTTTTTGAATTTAGAATTTCGATTTTTTAATTCTTGAAGTTATTTAGAACTGTTTTTATAAAAATTTCAAAAAAAACTTTTGTTTTGTTTTTATATTATGTATTTCTTCCGTTCTAAAAATTTTAATTTCTATTACTAAAAACGTTTTTCAACAACAAAATTGTCATCCTCAGTAGTATAATACAACAGTTTTTAGTAATAAAAATTAATATTTTTAAAACGGAATAAATACATAATATAAAAACAAAACAAAAGTTTTTTTTTGAAATTTTTAGAATTTCGAATTTAAAAGAACTTTTACTATAGATGGCAGCATTGTGTACTTTCATTGTTATAAATTCAAAAAATTTAAATTTTAATAGGCTTAGGCTACTGCAAATGCATTAAATTTTTTTTTTTTTATGAAATATTAACATTAGGAAACTAAATTGTATGCAGAGCAGACAAAGTAAGTCATTATATTAATTTTATGTTTCAAAAATTTTGTAGACTTACATTGTTATTGTTTTAAATCCCAACCCAAGTATGGTAGATAAATCTGAAGAGACTTTTATGGACATATCAAAAGAAAGCTCATCAAATTCAGTGTAAAAATATTTTCTACGAGGGAAAACAAATCAGGTGGCGAAATGCATGCAATGCAAGCAAGTTTTAAAGATATTGGGTGGATGTACAACTCCCATGCACACACATCTTCGTTCTAAACACAACACAGTTTTGAACAAGCGAAAGTTTGATGAAAATTCAACAGCTTCTACATCTGACAGTAACGATAGTATTGTGAGCACAACCAGAAAAACGAACACGATCATTGTATTTTTCATGTCAAAAAAAGATGAAACTTTTCCTGCCGTAGTAGCTAAAATGATTGCTTCTGATGGTTTACCGTTTCGTGTTTTTTGTACGTCAAACGATTTAAGAAAATGTTTAACAATGCGTGGATTCGGTGATATTCCAAAATCACCCACCAGCATACAGAAAGTCGTGATGGATTATACTGAAAAAATTAAACAATTGCAAATTGCTGAAATTAATCAATTAAAAAAGAATTTATGCTTTAGTCTAACATTGGACGTGTGGACGTCCTCTCGAAATAGACGTTATATGAATGTTAAAGTTCATGGGTCGAAAAATATCTGGAATTTGGGTCTTTCTCGAATTAATGGTTCGATTTGCGGCTGAAAATTGTGTAAAATTCTTTAGGACAAGTTAGAATTATTTCAGTTAAATATAAGGAACGATATTTCGTGTATTGTAACTGATGGTGCTTCTATGATGCAAAAAGTGGGTAGATTATTACCATGTGAACAAATTTTGTGTTTTGCTCATGCAATTCAGATTGCAAATGTTAATCTGATCTACAAACAAACAGAGAAAGAGGTAGATTAAGATGATTATGAGAGTGTCCTAGATCTAGACTCTGATGAAGAAGATTTAAGTGATGATGAAGGAATGCAAGTGGGGACGAGAAATGAATGTGATGTAGAAATTACTGAAAAGTTTACATTGCGAAATGTAATCATGAAAGTTCGGGTAATTGTTCGGGTAATTGGGCCGTGGCCGTAATTGGGTCGTTCGGGTAAAAGTTCGGGTAATTGGGCCGTGGCCCACGGCCGCATAATTTATGGCCGCATAATTAATATTAAATTTATTAAATAAAAATTAGCTATTCAAATACTTGCTCTAGCTGGGTAAAAAGAAATCCCGGCATATATAGGAAAACTTTGATCTCGATTATCCTACTCTTGTACCTAGAATATTTTGGAGGTTTAATCAGTTTGCTTTGCTTTTCGAATAACCCTTTCCAAAACTTAGTTACTAAATGTGTTTAACAAATGCCTCTTTTTTTTTAAAGCTCTTTCTTCAACTAACATCGGCTTGTATACTAAAGCTTGAATACATTCTAAATATAAAATACTGGACAAAATTTAAGTTAGTAAATGGTTTTTAATTGTTTTGATTCATAACACTAGATACACGTCTTTATTTTGCATGTACAATGTTTTGTTTTTAGATGCAGTAAGAAGTCAGCACGTGATTTTCCTAACTCATCAAGGCTATCAACGGTAACTAGGACAACGACTGCGGAGTTGATTATCAAATTTTAGTTATTCTTATTTTTATATTATAATTCTTATAAAAAACTTATAATTATTATGATAATCATATTTTAATAAAACTTTATACAAATATGTGTAGTAAATGTTTATGCTTGTTTGATATTTAATACTTATTTTGTAAAATAACTCTAAATTATTTTTTCTTACGGTAACGTGATATAAAAGTCTAGTTAGTTTTTATTGATACTTAATATTTGCCGATTAAAGTTGCGAACGTATTCATTATAGACAACGAGCACTTTTCACAACTTGCCCAAGAACTTTTTGGCTCATTTTTGTTTGCAAGTATCTTAATAATGTTGTTTCTAATAATCATTTTATTTACATTTAAAACATAAAATCATTAACTTGTTGAAAGTAAATTTTGCTCACACCTTTTCATTATCATTTCAATTAAATTAATTTAATATTTTCCTAACACTAAGAGGTAGTTATAAATCTTAAAGTCAATATTGAGGAGGATGTAAAGTGCTACATCCCAATTTCGTTTTTGTTTAACTAAAATGAAGCAACACTATTACTTTTAGGTTATGTAATATAAAATATTTATATCAAGTTCGACGTTTTATATTACATAACTTTTTAGATTCCAATACGCTAGTGAAAAGAATATAAATTTGACTTTTTTTTACTTTTGTAATCTAATAAAAAGCTTGTCGTAGTTTTCGATCAAAATTTTTCGTAATTTTTAAAAAAGAGCTTAATTAGTTCAAAGTATGTCAAAATAAAGAAATTTTGGTCAAATAACTTTTCTAGTTTTTTAATGACTAATGAAAATTTCAAAAAAATAATGAGCTTTGCCACGAAGATTTAATGTTTTATAACAACTATTTGAACATTAAAAAAAAATTAAAACATTTTTTTTTAAGGCAACTCATACTTATACTTTTGTACAACTCACACCAATTTAAATATTTAAATATTTTTGTAAATTAAAATTGAACAACCTCTTCTTTTTTTTTCATAAATACAATTATCTATCAAACTATAAAAAAATGTTTTGTATTAATAGAAAATTAAGTTTAATGTTTAATTTAGTAACAAAACAAAAAATGATCTTCGGTCACTTACAAACATACTTTCCGGTTTAAACCTATTAATAAAAATAATTAAATTAATTATTCCTTTATACCATTAGAACCATAAAAATACAGGGCCGATGACACCGGTTTCGAAGTGGAGAAGGAGGGGGGGGCATAACCGTCAATTCTTAAAAAAAGTCGTCTATATCTAGAATTTCTTATATTTACAAAAAGAAAAAAAAAAAAAGGTCCTAAAAAAAAAGTGGAGGGGGGGCTCGTTCCCCCTGGCCTCCCGATGTCGTCGTCGGAAAATAGTTTGCTGTTGCAATAATCTATTTAGGACATAATTTATGTGTAACGGCATAAAATCGACATTAAAATTTTAAAATATCTTTTTCATAAATTAAAGTTTTTTATTTATTTTATGCTAACACTTTTAGCATTTTATCTTTTTTGCAAGTTGGCAAGTTTTGTATTTTTTTTTTTTTTCCATAAGTTGATATATTTTTGTTTTCAAATACTTAAGTTACATGGTTTTCCACATTAGCCTTACCGTAGCGTGATGTTATATAACACAACGAGGTTATAATTATAGCCTCGTGGGTTTTGTGTTGACTTTAAATATTTGCAGATTAAAACTATAAACGAATTTATAGAAATAAAAAAATATTTACTTCTTACAACTTGTATAAGTCCATTTTTGCGAATTTTTGTTTTAAAGTATCTAAATATTGTTTTTGTGGTAATCATTTATTTTACCTATATATTTTTAAAACATTCTTGCATTAAATATGAGACATTAATTGCATTTACTGTGTGTAAATTATCTTTCTAATAGAATCAATTTAGTATTTTCGTAACACTAAAAAGGTGGTAATAAATGTCCTTTAGCCAACATTGAGAAGGTAATAAAGTCGGCATTGAGAAGGTAATAAAGTCAACATTGAGAAGGTAATAAAGTCAACATTAAGAAGGTAATAAAGTCGACATTGAGGAGGTAATAAAGTCAACATTGAGGAGGTAATAAAGCCAACATTGAGGAGGTAATAAAATCAACATTGAGGAGGCAATAAAATCAACATTGAGGAAGTAATAAAGTCAACATTGAGAAGGTAATAAAGTCTACATTGAGGAGGTAATAAAGTCAACATTGAGGAAGTAATAAAGTGCTAAAGCTCAGTAACTTTTTTTGTCACTAAATGGGCAACAATTTTGATTCTTCTACATAAAACTCATTATAAAAATACGTAACGTATTCCTCGTAATAAATATTTTATATTATAACTTTTTTTTGTTCCCCTACATCATTTTATAAATAATATTTTAATTTTTAAACATACACTAGTTATGAATATATAAGCTTTCCTACGTTTGAGAAATTGTTTTATAATTAAATATCATAAAAAATCTTTAACATTTATAATCTTTAACATTTATAATCTTAACTAAAACTGGTTGTAACATTGATTACTATATGGACTGTCGCTTCTCAACTTGAATGTGTAAATGTTGAGAAAAGGTGCTATATTAAAACACATCGATTTAAACTCATTTATTTTTAGCAAACTATTTTCGTTGCTTTTAATTTTTCTATTATTTAATTGAGATGTTAAATCTATAACTATATCATACAGGCAACAGAGTTATTAAATATTAAAACAGTTTTGAAAAAAAGCTTGTTTCTAACTATTTTGGTTTTAAATTGACTACCATCGACGTAATATTTCTTTAGTAATTTAAATTTGAAATATAATTTGTCAAAATTTCAAAATGTCAAAATTTTCAAAATGTCAAAAATACAAATAATTAGTTTAAAGTACAAATAAATGAAAACTATTTATAATCATTTGCTAAAATAAATTATATGAATTGATAATATTAATTGCTTTATAATTTACTTTTTTATAATCAATAAAACAATACAAATTGAATAAAAAAAATTTCTGAAAGAAAGTTTTTTAAAAAAAGTTTTTTGAATAATTTTAGATTTTAAATTCGATCTTTGTTAATGCGTCAAATTCTACCCCATTAAAGTTATCTGCTTACCAAGCAGGCATATAACGTTATATTAACTTTGTTTTAATCTTATAACGTTTATACAATTTTAAAACGGCATCATGTGCTTGTTGGGTATGTCTAATTCAAAATATTTCTAAAAACAAAGATTTTTTTTGTATGAATTTTTTTCAAAATAATTTTTTTTTTTAAAAGTCTTTTATCCAAAATCCATTTAAGTTTTTAAAAACGTTTAGTTAGTTATAAATTAAGTACCAACTTTTAATGAATATATTATATAAGAAATAATTATAATAAATATATATATATATAAAAATAGTTATTATAAATGTATTATTAAGGCTGCATTAAAATTTTAATTTCTGTATCAAAAGAGCAACAGAGATTTTTGTGTTCATATAAAAAACAATCCTTGCTGTTTTGTCGTGTTTTGATCTCAAAATTACAAAAATAAAACAGAAAAATACTTGTTTACAAATATATTTTTTAATATACCAACTTATATATAAGAAGTTTAAAAAAAAATTACAAAGATACGTTTACATAAAAAGAGCATTTGTCGTACATAGCTCAAAGACGATACAAATGATTCATATCACCACAGCAAGCTTTACAAGTTATAAATAAAATAAGGCTATTTGAAACATTATGTACAACTTCGAAATCTTAAAAAGGCCGTCTTGGGCCGTTTTAAGGGTAAATAGTATAATCTAATAATTTTTCTATTAATTTGTTGTTTAAATACGTTTAATAAATCTATTAATTTTTCGTTTTGTTGATAATTATTCCAGATTTATGCAACTTATAATTATTCAAAATTTTTAGTAGCTTTTTTTAATGCAAAACTTAGTAGATTATAGTTGCTCTTTTAAAGGTAGTAAATCGTGTTGTCACCAAACAAACCGAGTTTAGATTTGGTGACGAGTTATTTAAGTAAGTTATATAAATCAAGAGCAGAAGTGGAACAAGAATGAACCCTTGCAATACTCCTTGCAATACTCCATACATATTTTTTAGTTCTTCTAATTTTTTATCGATATTATAGTGCTTTTTTTTAGCATAGTAACTTTTTAGTTTCAACCCGCTTTAATTTGAGGGGGTTACAAGTTTTATTTTTAAACGCAAAGAGATTATTTTATGAAATTTTAAAAATAGCATTTGAATAAAAAATAGTACAAAAATATTTTATCAACTTATTGCTCTTTTGTTTGAGCAGATGTGGTCAAAATAAAAAAAAGCTTTCTTGTTCCCATACTCCAGTTATCGCAAATTTTTACAAAGCAATACTCATTTGACATAAGTATAAACATATAAATTTGTAGAGTTAGTTCCATGTCAGGAATTTAGCTATTTCAAACATCAAAAATGCTGGATTCACGCCTGATTAAAATAAATTAAAATGAAAATATTTCACTCATACAAAAGTTTAAAAACACCGAAATTTTTGTTTCACTCTTTCATGATGATACTTAATTCTTTATTTATTTACAATACTTTATTTATTTACAATATACGGTTACACAAACAAAAATTGTTTATAATTAAGTCTAAAAATACCTGAGTTAGACAACTTTTGTTTGATTTTATTTATATTTTGATTTCAATTCAAAGACATTATTTGTTTTTGAATCTGTAAACGGAAATATTTTTGATGTGATATCTTTTTATTCAACTAATTGTCTTAATACTATATAAAGATATGAGGTCTTGTTTTTATTTTATATACTTATTTAAAATACTTATTAAGGTGGCTTCACAGGAAATAAAAAGTGCAAAATCTAAAAAAATTTTTTTTTTTGAAAGATATGATTTTAGAGAATTTAAACATTGCTGAAAATGATGGTACAATTATTTTTTAATAATTTAAACTTTTTAGGCTACTATTTTGCATTTTGCAGGTATGTCACAAAGTAGCTTCCTTAGCAACGCTTATAGCAACGGAAAAAAACAGTATGAAACTTTTGTTTAACCACTGTTTTGGTATGTTTTCTTGTTATGTAATGACATAAGATTTAGTTTAGAGGCTAACTACGTTAAGTTTTCAAAATAAAACCGTTTTACTTACTCAAATTGCATGATTATACGATTATTTAATTACTCACTACCGGTAGTGAGTAATTAAATAATCGTTTTGTCACAGGTATACCTGTGACAAAACCATTGTACTAACACAAGTTGTGTTGATACAATGTTTACTGGAATTTTTTTTTTTAAGTTAATAAATTAAATATATAATGGGTAATTATAAGAATACTTCAAGATCTAAGAAGAGAAAATTTAGCGGTAATAAGCACACACAATGTATTAAAGATACGAATGTAACTGGCAACTTGTCTGAAAGTGTTTCATATATCAGTGCTAAAAAGTTAAAGTTTGATGTCGAAGATACAAATAATGCCAACACAAATAATTATTTTGTTCTTGTTAATTTTAATTTTATCAAACAGTTACTTGATTTAGTTAGTGCATGTCCTGAGTGTAAAAGTAAAGTTAACATCGCAGATGATTATTCTAGCAGAATGGGTTTCTCCCATAAATTTATTTTAACATGTACAAATGCTCAATGTCCTTTTACATACAGTAATTTTACTTCAAACATAGTTAAAAATGATAAAAAAGGTAGAAACATGTTTGATATTAACTTGAAAATGGTAATAGGATTCCGTAAAATTGGAAAAGGACACCAACCAATGGTTAATTTTTCAAGACTTATGAACATGTCATGTTTAACTGTATATGCTTTTGACAGTATAAGTAAAACTGTTAAAGAAGCATACAAATTTGCTTCAGAAGAATCAATGAATGAGGCTGCTCTTACTGCTAAACTAGAGTCAAAAGAAAAACTTAACACAGGAGAAGCACTTGTCCAAGTTGCTATCGATGGTTCTTGGCAAACACGAGGCCACACTTCACTGAATGGAGTCATACAGCCATATGTGGAGGAAAATGTTTAGATTTACAAGTAATGAGTAAATATTGTAGAGGTTGTCAAATTTGGGCACATAAAAAAGGTTCTACAGAATATGAAACATGGAAAGTAAAGCACAAGTGTAGTCTTATTCATACCAAGTTGTCAGGAGCCATGGAGAGTGCTGGTGCAGTTGATATTTTTTCTCGTTTTCTCTCGCAATATGGTTTAATTTACAAATACTACCTGGGAGACGGTGATTCTTCTTCTTTTAATGATGTTGTTGCAAGCAAGCCATATGATGTTTTTAGTATTATACCTGAGAAATTAGAATGTGTTGGACATGTTCAAAAAAGAATAGGTTCACGTTTGAGAAGTCGACGCAAAGTGTCAAATGGCGATAAAAAATTGTCTGGTAAAGGGAGGTTAACTGAAGCAAGTGTTAATACATTGCAGAATGCTTTTGGTATTGCTATCAGGCAAACAGCTGCAAAACAAAATTTAACTGATGAGCAGAAAGTGTATCAAATGAAAAAAAACATAAAAGCTGTTTTGCGCCATTATACTGATTTTGAAGACAAATCGCATCGACATATTCTTTGCCCAATTGGTCCAGATAGCTGGTGCAAGTGGAAAAAAAGTAAAAATGCAGATGCAGATAAAAACTATTCTCCTAAGTTAAACTTGCCTGAATGGATTTATGAAATTATCAAGAAAGACTTTGATGAATTGAGTAACGATGATCTATTAAAAAAATGTCTTCATGGGCAAACTTAAAATAATAATGAAGGACTAAATAATATCATCTGGTTTCGATGCCCTAAAAATGTTTATGTAAAGACTGATGTTCTTGAAATGGGAGTAAACTCAGCAGTTCTTTCTTTTAACGAAGGTTCATCTGGTATTTATTGTGTATTTAAACATTTTAATCTAGACTTGGGAAAAAATACAATAACTAGTTCAGTAAAAAAAGACCAAAAGAGCTTACAAAATATGGTAAAAAAAGGCCAACCACAAAAAAAAAGAAGAAGAAAAGATTTAAGAGGAATTAGGAAAGATTGGATTGATAAAGATCAAGATCAAGCATCAAAAAATAGCTACGAAAAGGGATGTTTTTTAAAACTTTTTTTACTTATTTGCCATATATCTAAAAATGAATATTTTACCATAATTTATCAACTCAAAACACGATATCTCAACATTAAAAAATGCTTAGACCTCCAAATTTTCTCCAATTGTTCAATATATATATATGTAGAGAATGAACTAAAATCTTGATGATTGAATGAATATTTATCAACTGCTAAGTCTTTTTTGAACCTCACCCCCCTAGAAATTAGTTAATTTTCAGTTTTTTTGGACTTAAAAGAAATATTTTTATTTTTATATAAGGATTTTAGTTCATCCTTTGACTCATATATCAGAAAGTAATATTGCAAAGTACCGAGTTGTTTTAATTAGCCATTCTGGAGTAATCGTGTTTTGAAAAATAAATAAAAATATGCTTTTTTCTGTGTTTTTTAACAATAAAGTCCTATTTTTTTTTTTCAATAAACCTTTATATTTTATTATTATTTTCATTAAATTAAGTTAATAAAACTGATTTTAGAATTGATTTAAGTTATTTTACTGAAAAAAAATTATTTCCTGTGAAGCCACCTTAAATATACTTATTTATTTTATTTTATATACTTTTATAAAAGAATCTTGGTACTTGGTGCTTGAATCAGCAAATAATTTCTAAACAAACTAAAGGAACTTTTTAAGTATATATTTTGTAAACCAAATCTAACTTCTCTCCATCCTATCCATGTCCATCCACTAGTCTTCTTCACTAGGCTTAGTGAAAATACATTTAATCCAGCGGTTGTTTATAGTATCTGAATTTTTTTATATTGATGTTAACAATGTTAGTGATGCTAACAGTGTTTAACAGCGTTTTAACAGTATTTTAACAGTGTTTTTGATGCAAGCGACTTAATAAATATTTTCCGTTTTATTATTTACTTTTTATTTTTTATATAGTTTTATATAGTTTTGCAAATATTAGTATAAGTTATATCAATTATACAACTCTTAGTATAAAATAGATCTTAATTTTTTAGTACTTTATGCATTTTTTAGTGAACACTTTATCTATCAATGAAACCTTCATTACAAAACTTGTTAAACGATGTCTTGTATACTACTAGATCGTCGCATTTCAATATTACTTCAACTAGTTTTGATAATCATCAACCGGTACCTCGTTTCGCTAATCGAGATTCAATTTTTATACCCCCGATGATTGTTGGCGCAATTTTTAGCATTGTAACAATCGGTGGGAATTTTTTGATTATTTTGGCTTATTTTACAAACGAAAAAATTAGAAGCGTGTCTAATGTTCCATTATTGTCATTGGCATTCACAGACATGTTTATTGGAATTATTCCTGTGACCATGAACATCCTGGAAATGTCTATGGGATATTGGCCCCTGGGTAAAGAAATGTGTAATGTAGCGCTGATGCTGGACTACGTCTCAGTTCAGTCTTCAATAAACCATATTGTTTTGATTAATTTTGAGCGGTATCTTGCATATAAATCCCCAGTTAAACATCAATTACTCCAAAAAACATCCAGAGTTATTGTTAAATTATTCACAGTGTGGTTTATAGCTGTTATAATATGGGCACCTTTTATTAACATTTATACATACAAGGTGAGAAGCGACAATCCATATAATAATCAATGCTACAACCAGTTTTCAAATGTTAAAGATTATAAATTTAAAAGATACATTTTTGTTACGGTATCAGTAACTGGATACTTTTTACCGCTCGGTATTGTGATTGTTACGTACTGGAAAATGTATTTTATAATAAAGCAGCAACTTAATCAAGCGTCTAATTTTTTCAATGCTTCAAATTATTCGGCTAATTATTCAAATTATTCGGCTGCAAAAACAACTAAATGGCATTCATTAACTTCACCGTCCGATGGAATGCAAGATAATACTACTGATAGGCAAAAAAATCTAGATTCAATAAAAAGCCTAAAGACAATACTTAAACATAAAAAAGCATTGCGTCTCATAGTAAGCATATTATCAGCTTTTTTATTAACTGGGTTACCTCTTAATGCACAATGGCTTTTGGTTGGCATGTGTCCAACTTGTTATAATAAAACATTATTTGATGTATGCAATTTTTTAACATACCCAAACTCTTTAGTTAATCCTTTTCTTTATGCATGTGCAAGTCGAACGTTTCGTAAGGAGTTCAAAAAGTTGCTGCTCTGTGGATTTTTTTTGAATTGTATTTCGGTTTCTAAAAAGTTACACGTCAACTATCGTGCCAACTGCATTGCAAATGATCAAGAATACAAAGAATTGTCACAAAGTGTTTCCACCGAAATTATATAGTCTGTTGACATGCAATTATGGATACGGGTAAAATGCGGAGATGTAAAATGGAGAAATAAAGTGCGGAAAACTTATCCAAACCCTTACCGTTACGCTATCCCAACCAAAACCAAACTTTTGCATGTTCTTCCAAAATCAGTTGATTTATTTAGTGAAGCCCCCAACCTTATTTTCACACTTTACTCCTATTTTTTCTTTTTCATAAAAAATAAGTTTATTTTACATATAAGATGTTGTAAAAAAATCATTATTAATATGTAATTATGAATTAGTTCCTTACTTTATTTTTTAATACGCATAAGTTTATAAATATGGTTTCAGATATTGTTATTCTAAATAATGATGTTCGAAAATAAGTTTTTAAATAAAAAATTAAACGTTTACGACTTTTTTAACTTTTTATATTAACATTTTTACCTACCTATTTTGAAAAATTTATTCTGTATGGAGTTTATCATTACAAATATTTTTAAATATTTTTAAACAAACAAAAAAAAATTTTTGTTTTGTTTCTTCCTTTCCTTTTTTTAACTTTATTTGTTGAATTTCTAGCTTAACAACTGTCGCCAAAAACTTGTCGTTAGAGATATGTGTTTACAATAGGGTTGGAAGCCAAAAAACCAACTTATGACGTTAAAGAGATGAATATTTGTTGCTGTTTTTTATATTTATAATAAATAAATGTTGCTTTTTATTTAAAATGATTCAGTGTTTTAAAAAAATTGTAACTAACAATGTAAATATCCATAAATGGTACATATAACTTAACATATAACTTTTTTTAAGAGAAATACGATAATTAGTATGCAAATTTAATTAGTGATTATTATCAAAATTTGTATGTTAATTTCTAATGGATGCGTACTTGATTCGCGGGTGTTTGAAACCGGTGTTACCCGTTAGATAATACTTTTCGTTTAGATTTATTTCAAACATATTGTTGAAGCTTGCTGACAAGAGGTTGATGTATCCAGAGCCTGCGCGAGTAAAGGTGGGGGGGGGGGGGGTGCCATTTGACTAAAAAAAAAAAATAGGTCTTCGTTTTCGAAAAATTGCCGACTGCCATTACGACATTTGCCGACTAAGTGTCTCAATTACCGACTAACCTATATTGAAAGGGTCGACATTTGCCGACTAACTAGTCAAAAAGGGTCAAACTTGCCGACTAAGGGTCAAATTTGCCGACTAAAAATCATTGATGGGGGTGGGGGAGGGATGACCCCTCACCCCCCCCCCTAATCGCGCCGGTCTTGGACGTATCTATACATAAAAATGAGATGCTGATAAATATTTTTTAATATATCCATTATATCTTTTAAAAGCAGTTTTACATGTACTTATTTTTTATAAGCAGTTTTACATGTTTATGTATAGAATATGATACGGCAAGTGTGTTTTTGTAACTTATAACTTATGTTTTTATAACCTATAAATTTTGTTGTTTGTGTATTTACCCGTGATATATTTGCATAGTCAATAAAACAGTGAATAAACCCAAAATAAATTAATTTGGGACTTATCATATTGACGTTTTTTCAAAATCGATATATTACACCAATAGTTTTGGTAATAATTCAACGGACATTCTGTTTATAAACAAAGAAATTTAGATGCAGAGAAAAATCTTTGTTTCTTTTGTGTTCAGTACCTGTGCAATAGGGGTGTTCAAATTTTACAAATTTTTTTGGAGTATGTATGCAAGCTAAAAAGATGTGTAATCATTAGTGATTTTAAGATAATATTTTTATTAAAAAAAAAAAAAAAAAATTCACCTTGCTAAACCCAACCAAAGTTTTTAAAAATTAGTAACTTTTTACAAGATTGAAATTTTCTCGAGATCTAAGATACATGCAAACATGTATACAACTTATTTGTTAGATTACTATGTTTAGAGCATTCTTAGAAAAAATGGCACCCTAGCTTTATGGGATCACCTTGCTACAACTTGATTTCGGAAACCGTGAGAGTATGGACGGGAAGGGGGTAAAACAGTTTTTTTTTTTTTTAATTCAAGTTGAAACTGTATAAATATAAAAACGTCAAAAAATTTTTTTGATAAAAAATAATAAAACCTCCGCCATAATACCGCAGCTCAATGAGTTTAGACTTTATAGTAAGATGTTACAGCAGTTATATAAATCTGAAGAGTTTTGTACAACCTCGTTATGGTTAGCAAAATAAACATAAAAAACATATTGATATCTCTTTACCCAAACAGGGAGGGGCATGTATGGATAATTTTTTCCCGTAACTTTCCCCCCCCCTTCCTTTCTTTTGTACTTCAGAAAAATAAATGATAACGTTGAAAAAAATATTAACTTAAAATATAGATTTAAGTTTCTGCATTATTGAAGGCTTCGTTTTCAGTCTCTAAAGTCTCAACCACATCATCTTCATCAACAATATCTAAGCTGCTGTCAAAATCACTTGTACTAGATAGTGATAACTTGTCCTCCGTCTCCTCAAAACATTCATATTCTTACGCAAGGCTTAGCTTCTCAGCAGGTGTTAGCTGTTCGGCTGCCTCTTTATATGCTGCTTTAGTGCGTGAAATTGGTTTTTTATTTTATTCTTGACTATTAATATTTTCTGCAGTTTCTTCTCGTCATATGTTTGTAAAACAACCTCTTGAATTGCTTGTACGGCTCTCTCAGCTACATCATTAATAACTTTTTTTTAATTTGCATTCACTCCCAACAAGGCTGCAAGCAACCACTATTAAGTTGGGAGTTACTAGGAAAAAAAAGAACAGAGTTATAGAGCAAGGAAACGGTTGACAGAAGACTTGAAAAGTTGAAGGTTGTATGAGTCAGGAAAACATGAAGATGGGAGAGAGTTCCAAAGGATTAAAGTGCGGGGAAAAAAACTAGATGAATAAAAGTTTTTAGAGCATGCAGGGACAGATACAGTAAACGAATGAGACTTAGCTGAATGACGAGTAAAACGAGAATGAATTTTAGTTGATGGAACTAGAGATGATAACTCCTTTGAGCAGTGACCATGATAGTATTTGTAGAAAAGAGATAGAGATGCAACTTTACGACGATGGGAAAGAGGTTCAAGCTTAGCAGATAGTCCAGGTCCAACAACATATGCAAAGCGTTTTTGGACCTTGTCAAGAAGAGAAAAATCGTTAGAAGAACCAGCCCAAATATGACAACAGTCTTCCATACAGGGACGAAGAAGAGATTTGTAGAGGTAGAGAATGAAATCAGAAGTAAGGAAATGTCGAGCACGATAAAGAGAAGCAACCTTAGCCGAAGCTAATTTAGCAATCGATTGTATATATGGTTTCCATGAAAGGTCAGTAGTAAGCGATAATCCAAAAAGACGTAAAGAGGAGGACTCAGTAAGAGGATTGTCATTCATTAATATAGGAATGTTGACCATATTACGGTAGTTTTTTGCAGTAAGCAACTGGGTTTTTTTAGAGTTCGAATTCACAAGCCACTGTGAACCCCAATCTATTACAACTGCCAAGCTTTTAACAAATAGTTGAAAAGCAATGAAATCTAGATCTATATTTCATGTAGACGAAGGATAAAAAAGCAACTTAACATGTCTTTCAGTGTGTTCAAGTATATCAAACACTAACCATGACTTAGCTCCAACATAATTAACAAGTGAAGCTGAGTTTGAGAAACTCGGTCTTTTGTGGAATATAACCGGAATTGTTTTTTCTTTCAAAATCATACTTATTTGTTCGAGGATACTGTACTAGCTTTCTCGTCAATACTTCCTTTGTAATGTCAGACACAGACTGATCTGAATTGGCTAGGGCAAAAATGACAGTAGTGGGATCGAAGTACCAGCTGTGTTTTCCCCACCTTTTAAAGACTGAAGCTGCAGCTACATCAAACTTCTCCAAGTGAGCCATCTGCCAGATAAAGTGCTGGTCCTGCAATGTTAAAATTTCAATACAATTTGGGTACACTATTTTATCAAATAATAATGCTAAAATTTAACTATGATTATTTGTATCAAAGGCTAAAAAACTAACTTGGATTGCAGCTGTATCTGATTTTTCAGCTCTCAGAAATTGAGGAGCATAGAAAGTTGAAACAAAAATTGCCATCTTTTCCACCTCATTAATCTTCTCCTGGCTCATTTTTAGGATTTGCTTGGTCGAATTAAGAAATAGCATGATCTTTAGATAGTAGATACTCTTTGCCATAAAACGAGCATGATGTACTGCTCCAGGCTTGTGTATGTTGAGAGGCTTGAATGTCGGTTCCAAGAACATGAGAGCTAGCTCAGCAAATTCCTGGCAGCCTGCTCTCTTCTCATGTCTCTAAAAAAGTTTAATGCGGATATTTGATTTCATTCATTAATTTTTTGTATTCAAACTTGAAGATTTAAATGGTTAGAAAAGTTTACCTGAGATTTTTTGAAGACTCCTTCATTCACAATCGTCATTAAACATTTTCTTGCTTTTTCTGCTTGTTCATTAAACCAAAAATCATAAATAGGTTGCCAGTTGAAGTGAGTGATGACACAGTTTTTCACATCAATATCATTCCACTTTTCAAGCCTTTAAAAAGTACGTTGTCAGGTCCTGTGGTTTTGTCTATGGTAACTGCTAACCAATAATGTTTTAATATGACTTCTAAAACATGATGTCTACAAGCAAGCATCAACAATGGTTTACCAACATTGTTTGTCAGTCTGAAAAATTAAGATTATAACTAAATTGCTAATTATAATTAGCTTTTAGAGTTCTTCTTTTAAATTTTATTGAAAAACAGTTCACCTGTATATCGCACCACGAATCATGCCAGTATTGCTAGCAGTAGTATCGAAGCAGACCATCCTTACGTGATCAGCAATTTCAAACTCTTTCAAAATTTCTTTGATAGCCTTAAACTGATTTAGCCCTGTACCAGAATGAACTCCTGGAGCACCGAGTAAATGATCAGTACCTCCAGCTCTCACAAGAACACAAATCTTATCAACTGCTACATCACCGTGATTTGATACCAAGTCCTAGAACTAGGAATAGATTAGCGATGTAAGAAAAACAGCTGTTTTTAATTAAAGCACTAGTTAAAATTAAATGTATGCAAACCTTGATTAACTTTCCGTCAAAGTGTAGCTGAATTTTCACCTTACCCTGTTCGATCTCTATTTTTATTAAAATCCTAATATTTTCAGCATCTTTGTTAATAATATTGTTTTTCATTCGAAAAGTTGAAGTATAAGAAAGGGGCAACTTATTTGGATCACCTCCAGCTGCGGTAACAAGCTTTATCAGGGTTGCTGTAACTGGATATAACAGCTCATAAGCTGTTATATCCATGCTTATAGCTGTTCTCATAGTTTCTTTAATAACTTCTCGGTTGATGACAATGGTTTGTTCTTGATTTTTAAAACTCCTTATTGAACAGTCCATGTAATTGTTTTCTGATTCAGACTTTGAACTTGATTCTAAAGAAATTGTTTTAGGTAGATGTACACGATCAGTAGAGCACACTTTAAAACCTCTAGACTGAACAAATGATTTTTCGCAAAAACTTGTTGTCAGGCATTTTTTTCAAAATATATAGTTTTTGTAAAACTACATATATCATTATATTTTTTCCTCAATGCTATTGAAGTGTTATTTACTTATAAATAGATATGTTTTTCTGTAGGTTTTTTGTTCATTTTAAACCAATTAAAGTATAAATTATAAATTGAACCTGAACTTATTGTTGAGAGGGCAGCATATAAGACGCTTATTTTGATAACTTGGCCCATTCTTTTCTTTAAGATAAAGAAATTGCTTAATCACATCAGCCCTAGTCGGTAGCTCCATAGAACACATCTTAGCTGGTTTACCCACCAAAAAGTGCTCCTTGGTGCGAGCACTTACTCTTCTTCACTTAATAGAATTCTTTTGCATTTTTTAAATTCGGAATCTAAAAATACCTGACCTATTCCTCATAATTCAAAAATGCATTAAATACATTCAAAAAATATTAGTTTAACATTACTAAAAATAACTAAACATAAACAACTTTACGAATGTATTTTAATAAAAAACCAGCATTAAACCAAAAGCAATTAAAACTTTAGATACTGATTTTTGATAAATACAAAAAGTGTAGATAAAATATAAATATTCAATAATTGTTAAAAATTGTCTACTGCATATTTTTATGTACCAAACGCAGTCTTTTTAAATTGTCAATATAAACAAATTCTATCATGAGGTTTTGTAAAACAAATAATATTTTCAAAATACAAAAATTGTCATAAGTAAATCGGTTTTTTGAACCAAAAAACATCTGGCCTTTTGCATGTTTTTCTCTTGTCCTAATAATAATACTTTGCAATTTTATTAATTGTATATTTAAAATTTGTGGTTTATATTATACTTTATATAGATTGTAAACGAATCTTATTTTTTATTACTTTATCTAAATGTATTTTTATTATTCATAATTTACTTCACTATTTCATTCTATATCCCAAATAAAAATTATTATGCTTTATAACCATATTGTAACAAAGTGATTTGCTAAACAAAAAGTTTTTTTTTCTCTTACTTTCCCCTCCCTCCCTGTCCATACTATCATGGTTTCCGAAATCAAGTTGTAGCAAAGTGATCCCATAAAGCTAGGGTGCCAATTTTTTTCAAGTTTGCTCTAGACATAGTAAGCTAACAAATAAGTCGTATACATGTTTGTATGTATCTTAGATCTCGAGAAAATTTCAATCTTGTAAAAAGTTACTAATTTTGAAAAACTTTGGTTGGGTGTAGCAGGGTGAAATTTTTTTTTTTTTAAAAAAATCAAAATATTATCTTAAAATCACTCATGATTACACATCTTTTTAGCTTGCATACATGCTCCAAAAAAAATTTGTAAAATTTGAACACCCCTACTGTTCAAATTTAATTACAGGAAACTTATGTTATTCTACAGACTAACCCTAAAACATTACCAACTCAATACTGCCTCAAAACTGTTAATATTTCAACTTGGTGTTGTCTATGGTGTGTTATTCTTCATGTGTATACTGTCTAACAAAATGCTTGAAATATCGAAATAATTATTTACTTGCAGTCTTTATACTAGAACCTTTAAAAACTTAAAATTAAATGATAACTAAATTAAAAAAATGATATAACTATATGAAGAATTGCTTTGGTTGAAAATAGTTGTGAATGGTTTATTGAATTACTTTATAATTTTAAATTACAGTGAATGATTTATTTAATTATACTTAAAGTAAAATTTTGGTACTAAACACACAACAAAATTGTGTGTTTAGAATAAAACTCTGAATTTAATCTGTTTTTTGTAGTAATAAAAGTGTTTTGTCGCCATCAAAAAAGTTTTTATAAAACCAAGTTGTTTATCCTCGTATAACCTTTTTTGAGAATTATGAATCTATTTATTTGTTGTAAAGTGTTGTTGCAGACAAGTAGTAATGATATTTTCATTCATTTAAAACTTAAAGCATTGAAAAATGTTATCTTTTTACTTAGAAATATTTTTGATCAGCACCTTTAAGTATGCTATGAACAGGCCTTAAAATTACACACAAGATGAATGTTACAATGAAAAACCTAGAGCTTCATTTATAGCAAAAAACAGAACTAATACTTATTTTAAGTTCATTTCAAATTGTATTAAATTGGTTATCACTGTTCTTTTTCAAAACTATTTGGGTACTGAATTTAACGTAAAGTTTGATGGTGCAACTTTGAAGTGTTATAAAGCACCTGTATTTTAGTTCATTTTTTATTATCTTTAGTTTCTTCAAAAATTGTTGCAAAAAAATTCAGTGTTCTTAGTATATTATTTACAAAGACCAAATCATATCCCTTGGTGACATTTATACCACAGACTTATTAAATTTTTTACTTAAAGTTTTATTAGGCTTATTTATTATTGCCGTATCAAAGACTTTATTAGGTGAGCTTGATCTATTGAAAGCAAACTGGAAGTTGAAAACACACTTCAAACATGACCTTTACCATAGTAAAATAGTGTAAGAAGTGAAAATGTTTTAGCTTAGCTTTTAAACAGAATTGTTTATAGATAACAAAAAAGTATTTACCAAATTGCTATAAGTATTTGTGGGTGGTGCTTATAAAATAAAATTCAAATATAATAAAAGTATTATTTAAAAAAATGTCTTTCTAATCCTTAGCTAGTTCACATCTTTGTATAAAAATTTTTAAACATTTTTGTAAAAACATTGTTTACTGAACAGTTATTAGAACAAAGTATTTCATTTTTTTACTGCTGTAAAATTTTGATTTTACAATTTTTTTATTTTTGGTAGTGAGGGATAGGATGGGGGGTGGAGCGGGGGGGGGGGGCGGGGTTAGTGCATGAAACTTTTTTTAGATATACTCTAAAAGTTTTTTGTATCCGCCCCAAAAAACGTGTGTTAAATAATTTGTTATGTTTTCTTGGTGTCAATTTTTTTACTAATGTAATTGGAAATTTTTTGAGAAATTGGGGCCATAATAACGGGTTTTTTTTTTTTAAATAAGTGTTCAAATAAATGTCTTTTAGAGCAGCCGTCGATATTTATTCTTGGTACATTACTTTAATAATTGCAATAAAAAAATATTTAAAATTTAGATATAAGTCGAACATCTAAACAAAATTAATGACAGAAAGTATTGACTGTTTATAAGATTAACATATATCTAAAAAATCTTTTAACGGGTAACATGCGTAACCGCCTATTCGTTCAACGGGAACCCGGAATTTTCACGAATTTCGACAGCCCTACTCGTAATTCTTTCAGACTATCATGTTTATTTTAGACAAATTTGGCGGTCAAAATAATTTCAAAACGAAAGTGTTTTTTTTTAAACATTCACGAAGCAACCGTAAAATATAATAGGTATTTCAGAATACAATAGTTTTATCAGAACTCTTTTGCAGGTTTTGTTTAAGGTCTAGTTGACATTAATTTACATATTTCCAGTTTTATCAGAACTCTACTTCAGGTTTTGTTTAAGGTTTAGTTGACATAATTTACATAAAATAAAATAAAGAAATATGTAAATTAATGTCAACTAGACCTTAAACAAAACCTGCAAAAGAGTTCTGATAAAACTCAAATCAAATTGGAAATCAATTTTTACATTTAATTCAAATTAAGGAATACTCAAATATAGAGATGCTACATCTGGATTTAGAGAAAGTTAATTAGGATGTTTTGGTAGATGGAATAAAAGATAATAGCTCATCAGACAGTACAAATACAGATAAGGGATTTTTAGAAATAGGTGTGATTTTTAAATCAGGAATGAGAAGATGGTAATTATGATAAAGAGAGAAAATCTTAACATTGTTAAGATTGTGAATAATTAGATATATGGTTTTTATGAGAGTTTATTCGTGAAGGCTCAGTAAGAGTGATGCTATTTATCAATATGTAGACAACTAAATTTTGTTTGGTTTAAATATCACAAGCAACTGTGAGCTTCAAGCCATTACAGAGGAAAAAGCAGACTCAAGATTATTTGCTTTTTCTAAGTGATTAAAATTGATGAATTTTTATTAAGTCTGGAGCATACAGTTCAACATTATACTCCAGTCTTAATTTTTTTCTTATAATTTAATTTATATTGGATTATTTGATTTGCTGATAATACAATATAAATAAATAGTTGTATTATCAGCAAATAAAATAATCCAATATGAATTAAATTATGGGTAAAAAAAGGTTATATTGGTTTTTTGTTGTAATTGTTTTTGTTTTTATTTTTTAGAGATATTTTAGCTACGCTACTAATCAATAGTAATTTAATTTTGTATAAAAATAATTCCATTAAAATAGTTTTTTCATTTTTATTGCACTCAAACAAGTTTTCTAACAAATTAATTAAGTTGTCAACAATAGCATTGTTTTATAAAAACAAGGTTGTCTCTTTCTTTTACCAATTATTTTTTTTGTCTTATTTTTAAACCTTAAAATGTGAATGAGTCATAAATTTTTAAATATTGTTATTGGCTTCTGGTTTCTAATTTTAAATTATTCTATTACTATTATTATATTATTAGTTTAATGTTTAAAGTTTGAATGAAATTTTTTATGTGGAAAATTTCTTTTCCTTTAGTTTTACTAAAAATAATACTGAAGTTATAAAATGGAGAAATTTACTGACATTCTTGGTGCTGTTCGCAAAGACAGGTATGTATGAGTTTCCAAGCCTTGGTAGGAATTAATGGGTGTGCAAACTGAAAAAAACTAAAATTGGTCAATTGATGTTATTTTTCATTTCATGTTTTTCTTGTAAACATATAAAAAAAAGAAAAAAGTGTAATTACTACAATATTTTTCTATTGAAAACAGTTTTAATGTTTTTAAAGTTATTCAAATCTTTATTCAGAAGGGATTTAGGGAGTTATAATAACAAACTCAAGTTTTTTTTTCCTCTTTTGTTCTATATTTATATGCAAAGCAGAGCTATTATATCAAAGCAGAGTATCAATTCCTGACATTTTTTTGGTTCTTCTTTGGTTCATCTTGGGATTCTAAGTTCTTGACAGTTACTAATATTACATTTTTTCAAAAGAAGCAGAATAATATACTGATTTTTTAAATAATTGAATAAAAAATAGTATTTTTTCTTTTAAAACCCCCATTTTAATCAAGTGGAAGTTTTAGGTGTGTTTTTGAAAATATTTTTTTCACAAAAATTTTTTATTTTATAAAATTATTATTTATAAGACATGCATTTTTTCCTGTTTTTTTTTAGTCTAAATTTGATATGGTTTAGAAAAAAAAAAAAAGTTAAAAAATATTAGGACCTGTCAAGAATTTAGAATCCAAAGAGGAACCTCAAAAGCTCATTGAAATTGAAAAATATTTTTTTTACTTTTTTCTTATAATTAATAGATATTGATTCGCTTCTCAGGAATATTTATTTTTAAATTTTTTTTTTGCTACGAAAATGGCTCTGCCCTAGTATTTATATTTAATATTTGTAATATATTCAGAAAAGTTATTTTTAGTACAACAAAACATATTTTGAACTTACTTAGTTAGGAAATAACTTTTTAAAATTGTGAGGCAGTTTAGAGACAAGTCACAAAGATCATCAGACCTTTGTTTTGAGCAAAAATCAAAAGTCAATGAAAATACTCTCACTTTCTATTGAGGTTGGTTGTATGCAAGTTAAGGCATCAAGCAGCTTTTTAAAATTGTTTATAATATTTCCAGTATTCTCATACATATGAAATTCTTTTTCGAGATTAGAATCTTTAGTTATATAACACTTTTTAGGTTTATATGCTGCATTTGAATGTAAATTACAGGTTTAAAGGTATATAATCAAAGTCACAAGATCTTGATTTCTTTGCTCTTTAACACGAAAAGACAGATTTAGCAACATCTCCTCTGAAATTGCATCATTGCTGTTATACCGGGAATCAAACAAAAAATTTAAATTGCATCAGCTGTTAGCAAATTCGCATCCCATTTAACTAATGCTTCTGCAGCTATTTTAAAGTTAAACATAAATATTGTTAAAGTGCTCTGGAACTTTAACTCATTTAATTCCCAGGACTTCTTAACAGAGATAACGGGGTAAAAGTTGCTTCAAATAGTTGGAGACCACATATTAAGAAAATCGTAAAGAAACAAAACAATTTTTGTTGATGTCTTTGTAATGGCTTCTTTATGATTTTTAAAAATTTTATATTGTAACGGTTTTTTAAATTATATTTTACGTCTGATGATGGTCTATATAAATTAGACTGAAATATCACAAAAAAGAAAAATTAGTTGGTACGATGCTGTTTTGATGTTTTACAACTTATTTTAACTTATTCAAATGAATTTTAATTATCATAAATATTTTTTTTTGTAAACTAGTTAAGGGTGTGCGGGCGCAACCCAGAGTTGCTGCTTGCTAATTCTGCCAAGGCATGGGATATGATTAGAATATGTTTTCAGGACTTGTTTTTTAAGGGAAAAGCTAAAAGAAGTAATCTCTGAAATAAAATACTCTTTACCTAAATGTTCTAAAAATACTAATCTCAGGTAGATATAAATTGTATCCTGCTACTATCTTGTAAAAATTTTTTTTTTGCAAAGTCTTTGAGTTTTCAAAAAAATATTATTATTCTCTTTACCAGACTTTACCACCTCTTTCTCAACTAATAGGCTGGAATTGCTATAGCCATAGACACTGTGGAGTGTACATTGACTGGTATAGCCATTTTTACTCTAAGTAAGGAAGGATATGATTCTGAAGTATTTGTAAAACTAAATGTTGTTAATAGTTTTGTTTTTATATTTTAAATTCAAAACACCTACTTTGCAACCTAAAATCTATCTAACATGGAAAATCCTATATTTAATATGGAACACTCTATTTATTATATTTAATCATTATATTTAATCGCTGAGGAGTACTAAAAATCATCAGTTTTGCTTCTCTGTTTCTGTGGTTTATAATGGTTTTGTTTTTAGTAAAAAATTGTTTGATAGCTTTTACTTTAAGAGCTTAAAAATGTTTGAATAGAGTATTAAATAAAACTAGTTGAGATCAGACCCATAAAAATACGGGTCTTTCTATTCTAGTCTATTCCAAACCAAACCTTTCTATACTTTTTTCCTATACATGCTAGGTTTCTAGATTGGTAAAATACGGGTCTTAACTAAATCTACCATTTCTATCCATATCTATTCATATTTATATACCTATTCCTTATTTAATTCAATATTTGTTAGTAAAACAATTTATTCTTTATTAAAAAAAACATTCAAGAGTAAAAAGCAAAACATTAATAAACTAAACATTATTATTAAAACATTATGCACCTTTTCCGCATATGTAGAGCTTATAAGAGACTTAATTAGGTTTATTTTTCTATTAAATGCATATCATTTGATAACTCAGTAGTTAAGTGCGCTGTCATCAGTTCTGTTTTGGGGGGTTTAAGACTTTCCCTCAGCATAATAAACTTTGAAATTTTTTCAATCATGCTTATATACTTATAACAAAAAAATAATAACGTAGCAAAAAAGGATTTCTAAAATTTAAATAAAATTTTGTAGTTTTCTCATTTTATAGATATATTATACGCTATTATCTCTATATAATGCAAAAGACGTTTACACTTACAAACGTTTTTACGTAACGCTATACAAATAGGACTAAGAAAATCTTAGACTACTAAAATATAGTCATAAAAAAAGTGTATTATAATGATTATTAATAAAAACTAAAGAATAATATAGCCTTTGCTATTAAATGCTAATCTAGAAGTTAAACCAAAAATATTTTGCGCATTGATGTCGATTTGTGGCAAAATAAACCTTTATGTGTCAAGTTTTCTTTTTTCCATCTTACATTTTTTGAATAACTTTAATTTTTGCATACAATTGCATAAAAATATATAAAACCGGTACAGATATATAATTTCACAGATAAAAGATTGTATTTATTACAATAGTAATAAATAAATAGTTTTTGTCTTTATTAGAATATATCCCATAAAAATATACTCCATATATCTTTTATAGGAGTTTTTTTTAAATCAAATTATTTTTTGTTTGTTTTTCTAGTTTTTTGCTACAAAGTGACGTCACATACGGAAATATATTGTGGTTACTATGATTTACGAAAAAGCCTTGACTATTATTTTTAACGGTCTAAGAAGCAGAAAACGTAATTTTAGCAATCAGAAATTATCAAGAGAGGGGCAAATCTAAAATTGAAGTTTTGAATTTTCCACTTGGATGAGACAATACGTTTCGTGTTTTTTCAATCTTGTCAATTTTTTTAAAATATAAATACATACAAAAAATCAAAACAAAATACTTACTTATAATACATAGGATCCTGAATAAAGTTTTTTCTTCATTCAAGTTTCAGAAAACTTTTTTTTTCAGACCATCTGCAACTTATTAGGACTAATTACCTGAGCACATTAATAATGTAAGTGTCTCATACATACGCAATCATATGTTTTATGAAATTTTAGCTTTCTTAAAATCTTTAATTTTGTAAAAGTTTATAATATCGTTACGTTACATATGTTTGTATTTAATCTTTATAAAACTTCAAAAGTGTTTTATATTTTAAAATAATTGAAAAAAATTAAAAAGAAAAAAGTTGCTTGTGGTAGGATTGAACCTCGGCTTACTTGTTTAGAAGTTCAGCGTCTTATCCATTCAGCCATACTGGCATGTTCTCAAGCCAATATTTTTAAAACAATATAATAATTTTTTTTAATTTTTTTAAACAATATAATAATTTTTTTGATCTAGAAGATTTTTTTTAAAAAAAATCTTCTAGATCAAAATTAAGGTGAGCTTGACGTAATGCAATTTTCAAGTAAAAATTAAACTGTAAAACATGATATATGTTTCAGTATGTTTTAACATTACTTCATTTAAAGTTTATGTACGTTAGACATTTGAATATGCATTCAGAGCCTATTCTAGAAAAAAAATTTGGGCAGCGGTACATCCTTGTTCCGACAAACTTTGTGAAAAATCAGCGTTTTTCATGCAAAAATAACAATATTTTCCATAAAAAAAAAAGGTCCTCAAATTTTAGTTTAGGCATCGCCCAAATTGGCGCCCAAAAAATGTTGACGCTGTTGAAAACGGTCTAGAATACCCCCTGGCATTCATTCATGATTTCTTATAAAACAAAGCTGCTGCAACTCTTTCTCGCCACTACCTTGTTCGCAATGGCTTCAAAAGGTACTGTGTGATACAGTCTTGAAAGCACACTACTATTACTACTAAAACTACTATTAAGTTCAGCAATAATATATAATAGATATTTTCTAAATTTGAACTTTTTGGAACACTAGAAAGTAATAAAAGTTTATTTGAACTGATTTTTTTCATATATACCAACTGATTTTTACCAAACAAATATATAGAAAACCATTTGAATTTTCTTTTTGAGTATTATAGTTTGTTTTTTTTAACTTGGATTGTTGTTTAATTTCATTTTAGTGGTTCTACATTTCGATCTTGTGAGCCTGAACTAATAGAGGTAAGACTTATAATAAAGCTCATACAAAAATTAAAAGTAGAGTTTATAAAAGAATCAAAAATATTATACAATTTTTTTAAAGTTTTTGAATATATGCTGAAATGTATATATTCATTCATATATTTATATTTGAATATATACTTTAATAAAGTTTTTGAATATATACTTAAATTATTAAAAGATTTGATTTATTTTTAGGTGTAAATTAAAAAGGAAATTTTAATTATAACTAGGTATTAGCTACTATAAAGAATATAGCTTATGCAGTACCTTTTAAAACATATAGAGACTCAAACAAGATGTCAGCATCATCTTAATCCTTTCTAAATGACTTAAAAAATACTTATTTTTATTTTGTTTCGGCAAAACCTTTGTGTTGGCAAAACCTTTGTAAAAAATACTTATTTTTATTTTGTTTTGGCAAAACCTTTGTGTAAAAATTTTGAGCTGAACTAATGTTTATTAAAGATAGTTGCTGTTCAACGCATTTAGAAGCCATTTTGTTTTTAATGTTTTTATTACTTATCAACAATCTTAAAGTTTTTACAAAAAAATTGTTCACTATATATAGCATTTAAAAATACAACTTGTGATTGTTGTCAACAATTAATGGTCGTTATACAAAATTTATAATAATAAAAATATGCAACATGTGACTTTTGTCAATAATTAGCAAAGCTAATTGTTGACAAATTATTGACCCACATTAAAATCCCAGCATTTCCCCCAGCTCAACAAGAGCTCATATATATCATGATACTTTCGATTAGGAAGTACTCTTCTCTGTCTCACAATTTGTGAGACAGAGAAGAGTCTCTCTTCTCTGTCTCACAAAGTACTCTCTTCTCTGTCTCACAATTTGTTGGATAGGCCTTTTCGTAAGAGACATGCAATCGCACGCCATATATGACCACGCATAAAGTTCTTTGTTTTAATGCAATGTTCTTTGAGGTTTAGTATGAACATAAGGTTAATTGAATGTTTTGTACATACACGTGCAATACCAAGAAGTATTACTATTGGAGTCAGAGTTGCGATATTTTTTAGCGACTCCGACTCTGCTAAAATTTTTGCAACTCCGCAACTCCGACTCCACAGCCTTGGTTAGGATTTTTCAAAATGAACGTATCACTTCAGCAATTTTTTTCAAAATAATTTTGCGATCATTAGTTTTTTATTTATTATAAAAAATACATACTTAATATGAAAAACAATTAATTTCACAGACTTAAATTAATGCCAAAGCTTTTTTCAATAGTGTCAATTTTAAGTAAAATAACTAAATTCGCTATAAAAAAAGTAATTATGTTTTAGCATGGTTTTTGCAAGCACTTACAAATACATACATAATTTTACTTAAAATGAATGCTTTTGAAAAAACTTCAAAAGAAACCATGCTCAAACATTCCGATTGCTTTCTTTTATTGAGCGAAATAATAAAAGTGATCATAACGTTTACGTTAAAAACATAAAAGAAACAATGGTTTTTTTTATGTTTTTAGCAATTGCATTAAAAGTTTAAAGCAAATATATTCATTATAAATAAAATTTAGCATGCTTTTTTTAAAATTTTCTTATTTTCCATAAAGTGAAATAATGTTTGATTGCATATTAAAACTTTTGCACTTTTAATAGTTTTTTTATTGTGCATTTATCATTAATTTGCACGCACTTTGCAAATGTGTAAAAAAAAGGTATTTGAAAAATAAAAATTAAATAAATTTACAAAGCATCTTTGATATATTTAATAACTTATTAACTAGAATAAAAATTATTTGAATTTTATTTGACATTAATTTCTTAAATTAGACGTTTGTCAATAAATAAAGATACGCAAGTCAACGTTCATTAAAAAAAAAACGATATGTCATGTCCTGGGATAAAAAATAGTTGGCAGATGCGATTGTTTCAAGATTATTGTAATTACTTTTTTTTAGTAAATAATTTCTTAATTAGAAATTATATTTCCATAATAAAATGGTTTGTAATTATTTTTTGATAGCTTCTGTACTCATTTTGCCTTAAACTCTAATCTGAATATTTTTTTCAATGATTGCCTTTAATTAAGTTGCGTTAAAGTACTCAGGAAATTTTCTGGGAGTTTTATTGTAATTATGGAATCAATTAAATTAAAAATCACATTTTTTTGTTTTTTTTAGCACATTTTTTAAACGCGCTAATTATCAAAACTTGCAAAGAGCCGTAGTCAAGTTGTTAAAACAAAGAACTATATCCGTGGTCATATAAGGCGTGCGATCGCACAAATGTATTGGGTTACTCTAACTAAAAAAAAAATTATACAATTTATGAGGATTTTGAAACATTAAATAAATAAAAAAGTACAAATGTTAAAACAACGGTTTTTTAATGTGTAAATTGAATAGACTTTAAGTTTTATGAGTTTTGTTTTAGTTAGGTTATATATATATTTATTTTTTTATGTTTTAAAAGCAACAAGATGAAACCAAAAAATACAAAACGAAAAGGCAAACACAAATACTTTTACAAAATAAAATTAAATTAACAACAACAACAACAAGATATTTGTTTTCCTTTTTCAAAAGGAAAATAAAAAATTAAATCGGGAAAAGGAAATTAAATCTGTTATAACGAAATATTACAAATTAAATGGTATAAAACAATAAGTAATAAAACAACCAATCTTCTTATTCTTGGTTTGTAAATTTCTTTATTTTTCCTTTTTTGTTTCTTTTTATTTGTTAACTTTTTTTCTTTCTTTTTATTTTTTATTTTTATTTTTTTTATGTTATTTTATTGTTTTACGTAAAAGTTTTTTTTTTTTAATAGTTAGAAATTCTGATTTTCTTTTTGTAAATTTTTTCTCTTGATTTAACAGTTTGTTTTAAATTAATTCATAAGAGCTTGATTATGATTAATTGGTGACTTTTTTAAAAACAATATTTATCTTTTGATTTGAGTTTAACTTTATTCTTTATCTTTACTTTAGCTTTTTTAATGGTTAAAAAAAGTAACTAGAACGAACTTAGAGCTAGAACGAACTTTAAACTAGAACGAACTTAGATGAGATTGAATATTTGGCAAATTTCAAAAAATCAATTCTCCAAAGAATCTTTTTTTTGGAGTCCTCAATGACAGCAATCATAAATTTAACCTAATTTTTGAAATACTTTTATAAATGTTCATGTTGAGAGGATACAGGAACAGACGCAGGCCGACCAGTTAAAGAGTAGAAGGATTGGTTTCTTCGTCAGACAAAGACCCTCCAAATGTATTGATAAAATCTGTATTAAATATAAGTAGATTTATACATTAAATTTAGAAATTTGTGAAAATATTATTTTTCCAAGAAATTTATATTTAAAACAGATAAATCTTACAAAAATCGTGAAGTTTTACATAAAATCAAAAATCATAAATCTCAAAAAAAGATGTCAAAAAATTTTTGAAAATGTGATTATTCATTTTTGTTATTCTTTTACTAGTTACATTTATATTTAATAGGTTTTCGAGGTTTTTGAGGTAAAACCCTTATAGAGGTTGCACAAGGTACTTAAACATTAGACTCGTCCCAAACAGTTAAGAACAAGGGCATATTATACAACCACTATTTAAACAATCATATTTAAGAAATAAAATTTAAAAAAAATTATGCTCTTTTATTTTTTTTCTTAAGTTTTTTTTTTTTAACTAAAGACTTCTAAAACTAGTTCCTAATATACATAAAATAAATATGTTTACAAAAAAGAATCTGTCAGTTACAAAAACACTGTCAGTGCCACCCAAATTAAATTTTTTTTTCTGATTTTCCGCTAAATTTCTATGGGGGTTGTACTACCGCCCAAATTTCTTTCATAGAATAGACCCTGTATATGTCATTTGGTCTCTTAAAATTCTTTCATTGATTCATTGATTACTTGATTACATTGATTGATTGATTTCATTGATTACTATAATTAATTTAATTGATTTCATTGATTACTTGATTACATTGATTGATTGATTTCATTGATTACTATAATTAATTTAATTGATATAAATACATGATATTATAAATTTTTACTTGTTGTTTGAGATTAAACATTTTTGTTATTTATAATATCTAATAATATTTTGTTATTTATAATATTGTTAAATATAATTTTGATATTATAAATTATTATTGACAAAAAAAAACATAATCTAATGTAATAATATCGAAATATGAGATATAGTTCAAATAGGTCTTAAATATAGATTTTTTTAACATTACATTACATCTCAGTTTACAATTTTTAAAAGTTGCATTTTTATATGTAAAAAAAAAATACAATTAAAAAAAAAACACAATTTTTAGTAACTTAGTGAATTGAAGTATTTAAATTTTATTATTTTTGTGAAAAATTAGTAACAACAACAACAACAAAAATCATCAGCCCTCAGAATCAAAGTCAGAAAAAAAATTGCAGACCTAAAAATTTTTCAGGCTTGCATCAGGTTAGCACAAAATTTCTACAAATTGACATTCATGCAAAAGTTTTGCATAAATTGATAGAAAGCAAACAAAGAGTTGGCATTTCTTTCATATGTTAACATTTGCTTAAAAATGCATGAAAGTTTTGCCATTTTTATTTTGATTATTTTATTAAGAATTTGTTCTTCTGTTTTTAATTTAATTGTTTTGTTTTCAATTTAGATAATGAGTTTGAATAGTTTTATTTAATTTTTATTAGGAAAAATTTTTTTGATATAATTTGTTTCAGAATTAATTTAAAATCTTCTTTTTTTTTCTTTCTTTTAATTATATATTTAGAATTTAAATAAAACATTCGGCTATCAGCCCTCTGCTAACTGATTTGTTTTAAATTTAATTTGTTTAGAATTTAAATAAGTTATTACTGTTATTACTGTTATTATTATTTTATTATATAAAAAATGTGATGTAAACAATTTAATTAATTTAACGATTAATTTAACGATTTAATTAATTTAACGATTTAACGATTTAATTTAAATGATTTAATATATCATCCAACATAATTTTTAATATGCACTTATATATTGGATACCAATATTAAAAATACACCATCCATGTGCAACATGGCACTGTTAGTACTCTGATATTTTTCAGCTGTTGATGGAATCAGCCTCTCTGAGAGCTACCACAGAGTTCGGGAAACCTGACTACCAGCCGGCCTCAGAACCATAAAACTGAGTTTTAGAGCTGTACCCTCATTTGGAGATAATAGAATGAGTTGCCTAGTCATAAAAACAGAGACAAAAGCAAAACCCATGAACTGAGTCAAGAAGATCCAGCGTTTAACATCCTAAACTGAAAACAATGTATTAAAAATACATATAGAATGCACTATTATAAAGTAAATTATATTAAATTATATTAGTAGTATTAAAAACCAAACAACCACAAATCTCAACAGTCTAATAGAATTAAAAAAACCATGTTTTGAATTTAAAAAAAAGCAATTACTTTTATATTTTATTTAAATCTCATACAATATAAATTTAAAGTTCAATAAATTTCTTATTATAATTCTTCTTATAAATTTAAAGTTCAAATTTGGTACTATAAGTTTGCTTTGCTGTTTTATTTTTAACAACTGTTTTAAGGAAATAAGATTTTTTTTGCAGGAATTAAAAAAAGTTCTATATTCTGTTTTATTTTTAACTGTTTTGCTTACAATTTAAACAAAACGTTGTTATGCCGTTTTTATTTTAATTATTTCATTAGGAATTTAGATAACATTTGTTTTTCCATTTTTTATTCTATTAAATAACTTCAAACTTAATTGAATTTGTTTTGATTTTTTTTATTTAAAATTTAAATAAATTTTTATTTTCTAGTTTTATATTGAGAATTACATAATACTTTTGTTTTGCCTGGTTTTTTTCAAAATAACTTAAATCAGCAAATAAAAAATTAGTTTTTTTCTTTTTTAAATTTAATTATTTTAGAATTTTAATAAAGCAATTGTTTTGCCTTTTTAAATTTTTTTGAAATAGCAAGAAATTAAAGTTTTAAAATTTTGAGTTAAGGCTGATATACACATCTATATATATTTGTATATATATATATATATATATATATATATATATATATATATATATATATATATATATATATATATATATATTGCACACATCTATATATATATATATATATATATATATATATATATATATATATATATATATATATATATATATATATATATATATTGCGCACATCTATATATACATATATATAGATGTGTGCAATGATGAATGCATGTGATGAATAAAATAACGTGTGATATTTCACGCTGGTAATACTGAAGTATGTGTTCCGTGACGTCAAGTGGTTTGCAATAAAAGTGTGTATATATTTGAATCACTAACTTGAAAAAGGGGACATGTTATGTGAATTTTTCCTGGACATGTTACCTGTTTTCAAGTTAGTGATTCATTTGATAATTGTGGTGAATATGTTTGAACAGTTTTCTATGTAATTGCTAATGTGTTTATATGGTTAATGTTAAATATTTGATGTATGTGATTTAGTATAAATTATGATTATAATTTTTTAAGATACAAGTTTTCATTAAGTAAAGAAAAGAAAACATACTGACTTAATGTTATATTTTTGTGAGAAAACAACATGCATTTGTCTATCTACAGGAAAAAATATGCTACTGCAGTTTTGATATTAAATAAAAAAAATGAAATATCACCATTTACTAAAAGATTACTACATAACTTTATTTTCTTTTTGGAGTTGAGTTAACATGCTTGGTTGTGGACATTTTAAAGAACAGAAACATTTTTATTTTAATTTAAAATAAATAGTTAAAAAAAAAAAAGATTAAGAATATTTCTTTTATTTACAAAAGATTTATAAAAAATTAAAATCAATAAACAAAAAAAAAATTAAAAACAAAAAATTTTTTACAAAATGTTGTAGATTAAAACTTTTGCTTTTTCAAAATTCAATCAAGTTTTAATTTTTAATTTAAACTTTCAATGGTCATTATGACAAAACGTTTTATAAATAGTGAACATTCCATTCTAAATGTTAGTAGTAATGACTTTATTCATTGTTTGAACAAATTTATTGTATTGTATTTGTATTAAATTAGAAAGCAGAAAACTGCTTTCTAATTTAAACTGAATGGGTGATTTAGTTATTATCAAGTGAATATTTTTTTATATACTTGATTATATACTTAATAAATATATAATAGACTTAACCTTGTATAAGTGTAAGTATATATACACTTATACAAATACAATATATAACTAACTTATATACTGACAAATATTTCGTGAAATGCATTTGTGAAACTAGTGACAATATTTTTCCTTTAATTGTTTGTGAGAACGCTTCCAAAAGTTGCAATTGCATGACAAATATATTTGTTATAAGTATTGTTTATTGAAACTATTTTTTTTTTTTAAATTTTAAATTGCGTTTAGCTTTAACTTTTTTAATAAATAGACTTAAATATAAGCTTAACTGATTCGAAGATACCAGCAAAAATATTTAGTTTTGAATTAACTTATATTTGACAAAATATTTTGTATTCCAACGTTTTTATGTTTTTGATTTTTAAATATAATAGTCATTAATCAATTAAATGTGATCGAACCTGTACAAAATTGAAGCTTTAAGTGAAGTTTTAGTTTGATAAACTTTTTACGCTAGATATTTATAAATATTAGGCTAGATATTTAATTTTATACCATTTAAGTTTGGAATTTTCATTGAAGTGTTGCAAGTTTTGATATTTTGGATTTTTATGCAATTCAAAGTAAATGTTCTAGTTAAGCAAAGTTTTTTGTCAAATGTACCTTAAAAAAATAAACAAATTCGCGAATGGTTTGACTTAACCAGGGTACGATGAAGCAGATAATATGATAAAGTTCAACTGAAATTTAAAAAAAAAAACTATATTTAGCTTTGAAATAGAAGAAATAAATTATTTTTAATTTGAACTTATACCACATAAATTAAAATTGAAGTAAGTCACACATATTTTATGTGTGATGTACTGATTAAAAATATAACTTTATTATTTAACAACATTCAAACTCTACTGCTTAAACATATTTTGTCTTCAGCACAAAAATTTTACTTAAAATATTTTCTATAAAATAAGTTTATAATTTTCTCGCAAGTTCTTCAAACGAGCGCGATTTTTTACTCTTGCAACGAAACTAGCGAGCACTATTTGTTGCACCCGGGAGGTCATTTCTAGGTGTTTTTTCATTAATGCATTAGTTTATCTAATGGAAGAAATATGTTACTGTGGTTTTGATATTAAATAAAGTTAATGAAATATTAGGTAGTTTATTTATTTATAGCCGTTTTAAAAAATTTAAGATTATTTTAAATCAAGTTTTTATTTATTATTAAAAAATTGTATTTATCTTAAGAAATAAATTAAAAAAATTTTTTTTATAGATTTTTATTTAACTTATTCCTAAACTAAGTTATTACTAAAAATTTAGTAACTATGTCATTAAAAATGTTCAATGCATGATTTTTAAACTCAATTTTCTTATCCCATTTTCCAAAATTGTGGTTTAAAACTTTAAAATTTTTCAAAATTCTGTTTTAATTTTATAATTTAAGTTTTCTATTCTCATTTGGACAAATACGTTTTAAAAATAATAAACATTTCAATCTATCTGTTACCAGTAATGACTTCATAACAAGTTCATTGTTTGTACAAAACAGAAAACTGCGTTTCAATTTAAACTGAAAACTATTTTTCATATAATTGATTATAAACTTAATGAATAATAAATTTTAAATAATATACTAATATAATATATATTAGTGTATGTATATATATATATATATATATATATATATATATATATATATTATATATATATATATATGTATATATACAAATAAACAATATATATATATATATATATATATATATATATATATATATATATATATATATATATGTATATATACAAATAAACAATATATATATATATATATATATATATATATATATATATATATATATATATATATATATATATATATATATGTATATATACAAATAAACAATATATATATATATATATATATATATATATATATATATATATATATATATATATATATATATATATACATATATAGACAAAATATATATATATATATATATATATATATATATATATATATATATATATATATATATATATATATATTAATATAAAAATTGTGTAATTTATTTCTGTATAAAATTTCATTCATTTTTCATTTTGCATTGTTTTTCAACCCAAAACAAAAATGTTAAATTAAAACATTGGGCTTTAATTCTGATAATTTAGTTTTCATTAGAATTCTTTTAGAATTTTATTTGTTATTTAAACTTAATATAGGTTAGGTTAATCTCAAAATGGCTGAAAATTGGACTTTTTAGGCAGATGGCAATTTGCTTTTAGATATATTTGAGTTCTAAACTGCAACACGCTGCCTATATTTTACCCATTTATTGCAGACTGTAGATTCAGAAAGCTTATCTGTAAAGAATTTAGGATGAATGAAAAAGTGCTACAGTTAATTTCATTTTGGCATATTTTAGCAATTTTAGGATTTTTTCCAAAGTTGAAGAAGTAAAATTGGTATAGAATAATAAGTATAAAAATAAAAATATAGATTGCTTTTTATTTATTTCGCTTTCTTTAATTTTTTGCCTCAAAAAAATGTAGTAATTTTTTGTTGAATTTTTTAATGCAGTTCATGTTACATACTTTATATTATTTATTTATATTCAAGTTTGTCAATTATTTTTGTAAGTTATACATTTATTTAGTTTGTACAGTACTAAAATTTTGATTTTGTGTTAAAATACATACAATTCAAATATTTTTTAGAGGGTTTTTCAAGACATTTTATAGTTAAAGAGTTGGATAATAAATTTTAGTTTATTTTTATATCAGCTGATGAGACAGATTGACAACATGGTTGAAGAAAAGAAAAATGAGTGGTTAGAACAAATGTCTACTTTGCAATTACTGCTACAACAAAAAGTTGATGAGAATTCTCGAATTTACCAAGATCTTGAAGCTTTAAGCTATGAAGTAAATTAAGCTAAGTTAAAAAAAATTAAACTATTGGTGCAAAAATACTATGTTAAAAGATTACATTTAAAAAATTATTTATTAAGTTTAAACATGATTTTTAGTTAATTTAGTTCCTATGTACATTTGCTGTTTCTTTTTTAATAATTTGTTATTTTAATTAACATTTCCTTCATTATCTTGAAAGACTTATTCTTTCTTTTAATAACCGTAAAATATGTTTTTAAATTTAATAAAGTAATAATTATGTAATCAATTCTGTCAAATATCTTTCTTTATCACTAGGTGGATGATTTACGTAAAGAAGTTGCGCGATTAAAGAATTCTAAGAAATTGCTTGTTACAAAATATGAAAACACTGTTAAGAGGTTCAAGGATGAGGTTTTTTATTAGGTTTTTTTTTAGTGAATATCAGGGTTTACTATAAAGATGTTTACATTGTGTTTTTTTTTTTTTTTTTTTTTTTTTTGCACTTGTAATATCTGAATATGTTGTCAACAAGCATGACTATTAGCGGTTGTTGTAATGTCCTATAATGATGCAAGTTTGGGCTTGTAAA